CACAAAACTGACACTTTCTAATATATATAGCTGAGTCATGCCATTGAATGTGAGTCTCATTTTTATTGAACGACATGTTAATAATGTGTCCTAGCATTTTAATAAGTGCGACATTCACTGGCACACTATAATAAAGGTGAGCACTACCATTATATTTAGTCCTCATATGTATTAGATAATGTGTTAACAAGTGCATCAATTTTTTGTGTCCAAATTAATAGCTTCATTAGTTAGTAAGTAAATGATGAATCAAAGACCAACTATGAACTTTTCATAAAAGATCAAATGCAAAGTCATAAGGCCATCTTCAACCGAAGGGTCCAGAGGGCCGAAAATAGCCCGAAAACCGTTTTTAACCGAGGGCTTGTGGGCCCCATGGAATACGAAATGGCCAAAGGGCCAATCGGCTGGCCCAAGTCAGCCAACCCCGGGCTGGGCCAGAAATTCTAGCATTCCTAATTCTAGGCCAAATTTCAAATGCAACGGCTAGCTGACGTCAGCAAGCCATTGTTTTTTATTTTTACAATTTTTTTTCCTATAACTTCTATTTTACAAAATTTGTTTTATATTTTTTCTAAATTATATTTTTTTCCTATAATTTCTCTTTTACAAAATTTGTTTCATATATTTTTAAATTCTATTTTTTTCCTTTAACTTCCTAAGCCATTATACAACATTAAATTAAATTAAGTAACATGAAACAACATTAAATAACATTAACCAACATATGACTTCTATTTTACAAAATTTGTTTTATATTTAAGTTGTAGTTTTTAAATAATAAATTATGTTTGGCCCTTTGACCCTCGGTTAGAGACAGTTTTTTGTGACAGGGCTAAAACCATCCCTTTGGCCCTTGATTAGAGATGGAGGCAAATATGACTATGTATTGTTCATTAAAATATTAATATCTTGAAAGATCAGAAGATTAAAACGAGCCATCTGGCCAACCTACGGTTGGAGATGACCTAAAGCTATATATAATTTGAAAGCTCGAGAGTTCTATTATTAGGGCTAAAGAGAAGGGATGATTGAGATGTCAAGGGGGCCAAAGAGAAAGGCAATATCAATTTTTGCAGGGGTCTAAAAGACGAATGGATCGAAGTGGCTCTCTCTTTTGTGCAGTTAGGCGAACGTGTGAGTGAAAAAAAGTGAGCCTGTCGGGCCATTGGACCTCCCCCACAACCCATGTTAGCTCACGACTCATGACTCATCGCCATGCTGCTGGAGCCCCCAACCTCATCATCTTCCCTTTCCCGATGCCAACATGCATGCTCTTCTATTCAAGGACTTGTAATTGCTTACACAAATTACATCGTTAGTATAAACATTTTCGTTGCACCAAGGTTTGTTTTTAATAGAGCGACTTCAAGCCAACAAACTTTCCGTTTTGCGAGGGTAATGGGAAAGTCTATCGCATGCAGACTTATTCTTATTCTACAAAAAGACTGTTTCCACGACTTGAGTTTAAGCAAGTCTCTTTCTTAAGTACATATAAAATGGTCATTGTGATTATATATGGTCTTAAACTACCTTTAAGTTGTGGTCTTAAACTCATAATTTAGTGTAAAATGTGATCATATAGCTTGCATCATTTGACCCAAATGGATGGTGCATTGTCAATTTGACAATAATCACACTCCTTTCGCTGATACTTTTTCACTTTCTTGCCCTAAAGGGTGCAGATTTTAAACCCCACTAAAGTGATCTCGTACTTAAAAAGAAGCTTGCATCGCATGCCGCAACTTAATCAAGAATCTAGGACCATGCCTTGTATATATATCATTGTGGAGGTCGTTGTTTAGGCTTATCAAAACAATTAGTTTATATGGTAGGGTTTGTGACAACATATTTGCATTATTAACTTAAGATCGTGCTCAAAAGTACCTTAACGACGAAAATCTAATTGAGGTTTTCTTAGCCTCAATAAAATAAAGTTAAAATTAAAACTAATTAAAAAAAACATGCGTAACCCAATGAATTATGTACTATTAGAACTCGTTTGGAAGTGCTTTTAAAATAACTAAAAGCGCTTTTGGAGAAAATGTTTTTGAATTCCAAAAGCACTTGAAGTACTTCCCTGCAAGAAGCATCAGTTATGTGTATTTTGTAAGAAGTACTTCAAGTGTTTTTTATAAGAATTTACTTGCATTCTTACTAAGTATCATGGTTTCAAAATAATTTTACAAAAAACGTTTTGTCATTTTAAAAACACCGTCAAACGAACCTTCCATTTGTATTGTATTTTCCTTCTCTAACTATGCATGTGTGGCACGCAACCTGCCCGTGAAGGCATTCTTCTGCTTTTCGTTGGGCCTATTTCATATATATTCTTCTTCGTACTAAATTAGGTCAACCTTGATTGGCCCAATTTTTAGGTTTTTCAAGCAATTGCTGCCATTATTGAGCTCAGGCCACATTCCCAACCAATAATAAACATACAAAATGCGAATTAAGAAAAACCAACTTGCATTTCGTTTTTCACAATCCCACCTTTAATTGGATGATCATAACATAATTGTACTCTTAATGTACATATAATTAAACTTCAAATTAGCTCCAAATCCATATGTATCTTATTAGAGTATTACGTTAATATATAATATTGCAACGACGCCATTTACATGCATCGTAATGTGGACTGTTAAACTATAATTATCCGTTCCAACACGTGACTACAAGGTTGACTCAAATCTTGGGCCGTGATCAAGATAAAGATAGGGCTAATCAAGATTAATTATAATAATCATAACATAGATGTTAATGTAACAACAATAAAATTGTGAGCCAAGCCAAGTAGATTTCGTGATCGTGGAGTCGTTTTGTTAGGTTATAGTTTATTGAATGCATAGCCAACCATGTGAAAGGAACATTCTTTCGGATCAGTCGGTGTGTGTGACACAAACTCGCATTCGTCTCTGCCATTTGCTTCTGCAAATGTCCTTTCACATATATAATTTTTTTTTTACCCTAAATCCCTCCCAAAGAAGCATAACTTTCCAAAATACAGCTAAGAAAAAGAAACCATCTCTTGGAATTTTCCTGGTTTTATTAGGAAAAAGTTAAAATACGGGGAACATATTAAATGGGACTTGGAGACATGTTGAGTGTGCTGTTTGACAGATTATATATGTTTTTTTTATTTTAAACTAATCAGCGGGTGACAAATCCATGACAGTCCATTCTTTTAGGGGCTGGAAGACTTACTAAGGCATTTTAGTCTTTTTCTAATCATAATTGTGTGATTCACATGCACTAGGATTCAAACTCAAGACCAACTGTGTGACCATGTTGAATACGAGTCTAAAATTCGTTCCAATCTATTAGGCATCCGTGGTGGTTGGAAATGAACTTTGTGATTAAAATTTTCCGATAACTTGTCATGGCAGATAAATCCATGGCCGTCCATTTGGAATAAGGATCTACGTATCCATTGTGTGGCCCATGTGATATGTGCATGGTTTGGCAGCATATTCTAAATGTTGGGTTGGGAGGTGAAGGGAGGTTATATTACGTGCCTTAGATATAAAGTGATCATAAATTTATACGAGCTGAAACTTGAAAATACTTATCAGACAATCAAATGCTTTGAAGATGCTAAACTTTGCCCTACATAATCCCAATCTAAAGGACTGGATGGTACTCATCAGCCCCCATATTCTCGAATTTGTTTGGAATTATTTGTGTACAAGCCCCTAAATGTACCCTAAACCGATCTTTTTTCTTTTTCGAAATATAGTGATATATTTACACTAAAGGATGGAGGAATAAATTGGTTTAAATTCGTCATCAACAAGATTAGAACTAAACCGACCCTTTTTCTTTTCCTTTGAAACACAACGATATATTTAGACTAATTAATGGGTGAGAGAATAATTGGTCTCATCTCGCTGTCAACAAAAATTGAACCTCTACTGACCCTCATGTGTGGTTCTATATATTTCCAGTACTTTCTTTTGCTAGGTCATCTTTTGGTTCTGTAATTGTATAAGGTGTTAATGTTATGGAGGTGACTATTGCAAACTTAAATCAATATTCAGTTTAACTTACATTTTACAAGAACTTATCAAACTCTTAGTGGATCAATGGAGGTCACCAAACATATTTTTAGCAAGAAATGAGAAACCTTTATGGATCTGGGAGGATTATAACATGATTATCTTTGGGATGGGTGTGTGTCCTACACAAACAATTGACATGAAAACTGGTTGTCACGTATGGTCCTTGTCTCAGACAGGATCAAACACTGTTTCCTCATATTTTCTCAAGGAGGAAAGTGTTCCAGCATTTCCTATATATATATATATCTTACCTGTTCTTCCTCTGAGGTGATCCAATTCCATCAAGGTTTGTCTGATATTCTAATTTTCTTATTTTTAAAAAAAAAAATTAGTCTTTGTTTTCGAGCTCAGCAGCAGATTTCCCTAAAAAGTTTCATTTATTTTGTTCGGCATTACAGCCCATCGATTCCCTTAGCTGTTACAACTTAAGCCCAAATTTGTGGGCCTTGTTAAACTAAGCCCCAAAGTGTGGGCCTCTCATGTTATGGACATAAGGAAAGAATTAAATATTATCATGAAATGAATATCATAAAAGGATTTGTTATTTGCTCTGAAAAAAATCATCATCATGGGCTCTTCTTCTTTTAAAAATAAAAAGGAAAAAAGCGGTATTTTCTGTTATTTTTAGTGCTTCAATTCCTAAAAGAAAATTATACGAGGGTATACGATCTCTTCTTAAAAAGAAAGTAAGACTGTATACAATTGATGATTTCTCAACGTTCTCAAAACGCAGAAGCTTGTTGGCATGAAGTCACCATTTTTGCCTTGACTTGTCCACTTAAAGATTGTAGCATTTTTGAAAATCGGGTTCTTTGTCCATGGTTTCAAATCACTGCTGCGCAAAGTGGCAAACATGCCAGAACATCCGAAATATTTACGCAGATTCCCAAACGAAGTCAGTGTTCTGTGTCCCAACCCAAACACGTCCTATACTATATATAAACAAATCATTATATTAACATTAACATTATCTAATCTTAATTTCTTTTCACTATTCATTCCTTTGATATCGATGACGATCATGATCAAGTTCGTCAAATTACATACTGATTAAGATTAACTACACGCAGCCGCGATTAGAGGGCAGGCGTCGCCACTTTAGTGGACAAGGTTGGGGCAGCGGTGGCCGGGATATTATTAGTCTTGGTTGGCCCGCCGCCCCTGTCCCTGTCTGGAGTGGTGGTGGTGGTGACTCGCTCGCAACGAGGGCACATGGTGAGTGTGGATGCCGGAAGAGGGTCGCAACTGTGGGGGTAAAGCACGGTGGGCGGGCTGACTTTCATTGCCCTCAGCTCCTCCACCTCCCTTTGCAGCCGCCTGTTTTGTTCAGTCAGCGATCCGAACCATCTCTTCAGATACTCGCATTCCATCTCTGTTTGCTTCAGCTTGCTCCTACAACCTCACCGTCCATGTTAATTAATTTACTAATTAAAATATCAAAATTATATATTGTTTTAAAATAAAAAACCTGGAAAACTACGTGTACGCGTAAGTAAAAGATAACTCATATGTTATGACATACTTGAGTTACAAAACACTTGCAAACCTTTTAATAAGCACGTGTTTATGTATGTATGTGTGTGTATATGTAACTATATATACAATGAACTTCAGTTGAGCGATTCCTCAAATACTTCATATGTGTATGTGTACAAACGAACGTAAGTGGGGAGGAGGAATCATCACCTAAAGTGAGGATGAGAAATCGAACCCAACACCTAAAGTGTAAGGATAAATACTCTTAACTAACTAAGCTGTTAACCCCACTCCAAATTACTGAAGAATCCAAATGTTATCGAATTAAATATGTTTATATATTCAAATTGTTTACATCATTAAATTATGTAATACACGAACGTAGGTACGTTTTGAGCAAAATATGAGACGTGTGGTGGATGACATAGATGAAATCATAAATGCATGGCAACAAGTCCAAAGAGTAAAGACTACCAGGCAGCTAGAGTGAGTCATGAGTCAAAGAAATAAGCACTTATTAGAGTGATGGAACTGACGAGCACACGAGGCTATCAAACACCAGAAACATCCTCTTCTTCATCAATGCTCACTTCTTTATATCATCATTATGTTTGATTCTTAGGAACACGACTATTATTATCCTTCGAGTAATGTTACACTTATTTCATATTTGTATTATAGAAATATATATATATAATATATATATATATATATAAAGCATAGGTAGGGCCTACTAATACGCTTGAATCTCATCTCTAATAGAGAGATGGTAAAAATAATGATACAAATATTTAGTAAGAATAACATTTTTGTTATCTTCCTTCAAAATATCATAAATTTGAGTGTCTACTTTATCCACCTAATTGTAGTTGCCAATATTATTAGGGTTAATTATGTATATGTCACACTTAAGTTTTTGCCAAAAAAAAAGAAAAAAAATTCAATCATTTTCTTCCGAGGAATCTAAGAACAAGAATATTATGACATCTTTTAGCATAAAAAAGGAAAACTACACAAAAAAATCTTTAGCAAAATCCTACGAATACCCAGAGTTCGACATTTTATTACACACACATATACACATAGATATATATATATATATAGATAGATATGTATAGAATTAGATTCAAATGATAAAGGCATAAGTATAGTTTGTGAAAAGGACATAACGAGAGATATAAAAATCCCAACCACCAAGGAAACAAAAATTAATGGAAGGGCCAAAGAAAATAAAGTTCCAAGTCCATGAGGTGATGCTGGCAAGTTATTAGGGTACACACTTACCTGGCCCTACGATTTTGAAACCACACCTCGACCTGGCGTGGCCTCAGCTTCAACTGCATCGCCAACGCCTCTTTCTGTTTCTACAAAACATTCCAAAACTGTATTTATTATTTTGAACAAGATGAACATGTTTATTTTATTGATTAATATATGTTTAATTAGTTAAGATCACAGACTACTAATTATAATTAAGCTTACAGGGTTCAAGGTGTGGTTTTGTCTGAAGCTCTCTTCGAGAAGACGAGACTGTTCCTTGGTGAGACGAAGCTTCTTGCGGGGAGGACCCGATCCGTTGCTGCTTTCTTCTTCGTCTTCCATGCCCGCTGTCATCCATTCTTCTTGATCTCCTTGTAGTGATGGTATTTGGTTTATGTCCAAGTCTCTCACTGCAAAACCCAATTCACAATTTTTAAAGATTCTTTTATACCAACGATATCGAGGGAGGGGGATTAAACTTCAACTTGTAATGAATTTAATATATATGTACCAATAAAAACAGTTTTAAAACAAATATTAGCCACCAAACTTGTCTCCGTGAGACATGACAAAGAGAGAGTTTATTAGGGTTTGTTGGCGGTGGAAGTAAAAAGGAAAGGCATGCAAGATATCCGGGTAAAAGATCGTATCGTATATATGATCAGGATCAACCAAAAACAAAAAAATCGTATGTTTGATAAAAAATTTAAACAAAAAAAAGAAAATATTCATAGCTAATAATATGTTTCCAAATAATACACAAACATCAATCGATTAAGGCTAATTAATAGACTTTAAAAAAGAAAAATATGGTGCAGAAAAACGAAGGAAGAAAAGCTTCGGTGGGTTCATTACCAGATGAATTAGGAAAAGACGGGTACGAAGAGAAGCCAGGTACGGACATAGTCAACTCCAAGCTCGACGATCCCATCGCCGTCGGTAAAACCGCCATAGAAACCCTAGCTAGTGGCAGGTGTGAGATAGAAGATGAAGAATGAAGAGAAAGAAGAAAGGAGGACGAGAGAGAGAGAGAGAGAGAGAGAGAGAGAGGGGGGGGAAAGGGTAAAGTAAAAACAGGAAGAGACAGAGATGAAAACCACACAACTAGATGATGAAATAGAGAGAAAAAGTTAAAAGGTGTAAAGGTCAAATAAATAGTGGGGGGAGAGAGAGAGAGAGAGAGAGAGCAACAAATAAAAATGGTGGAAGGGCAAAGGAGTAAAAAGAACATAAAAGTACGGATGGGACGAGGATATATGTAGTTTGGGCTAGGGTTTTCTTGACTGTTGTCGTCGAGTCAAAGGGTCTGACCGTTCGGTTGCGAGGTGTCGGCCTGAAGAGAAACCAGTGTGGGAGAATAACCGGCAAGCTCTCCTGTTGAAGGCGATTACAAAAGAGAGGAGGTGTTGAATGGTGGTTGTCGGTTGAAAGGTCTGCTGGTGATGATTGGGAACGATGAGCTTGGTTCCTGAGCTTTCTTTCTTGATCTTGTCACACGAGAAGAACTTGCATAAAACAGATAAATCGATTAGATATCTAATTAATAATATTTTGTATTGTGCTGAAAATTCTATTGTTACGAATTTGATAATATACTCATTTCATATAAATTTTTTTCAAATACTTACAACATTTTCAATGACCCCCTGTACCCTTTAAGGGAAAAAGGATAACCTATTAAATTTAAAGCACCGACCCATCAACATGTATGAGGACAACGTACTTCATGATAAATGATTGAATCAGGGCCGTTGAGAGTTTGATCAACGATGCAGAGGAAAAAGGATGGCATGGGGTGGGGCACATTGGAATTTTTTGTTTTAAATTCTAATCTTTTTATTTAAAATATGCTTAAGGTGGGCATATATATTAATGGCACTGTGCTGTTACGTAGTGTTTGGATGATGGGAAAATTGAATGCTGCTCGAGTTATCTGATTTGCTGGCACAAAAGGAGTTGTAACGTTTATGCTCAAGAAGAAAATGGCATAATTCAGGGCAGGTATGGTATTTTGGAGCAGAGTCATTTATGAAGCAATTGAGCGTTGCTAATTTTCTGCAACCTTCTTAATTTTTAATGCCTCTGTAATTGCACCAATGACTTTAGAATAAATTTTCTGGTGTGGACTCTGGAGACCGTTTGGGGCTTTAATGCCTCTCTCTCTCTCTCTCTCTCTCTCTCTCTCTCTCTCTCTCTGCTGTGATGAGCTTATTGTTATACGACGTTTTGGTTCAGTAATACGTTATTTTAACAACCAAAAGAGATTTACATGATATTACATTATGAAATCGAGACGTCACTATTGCGGTGAACCTATTTCGTAGAAATCCTTTTTTTTTCCCCAATGGGACGTTATATGAATTCATGAGGTTCTACTACTAATTATTCATGGGTTGGAATTTGGAAACATGTTCTTGTTTTTCCAAATTGCATCAGAAGACTAGTCAGCAAAATTAAAATGAAGATCCTAATTATTGAGGAACAATTAATGGAAGATTTATCTAGGAATATGAAAAACTGAAATGTATAATCAGTAGATTTGACCAGGAATATCAATATACAATGTCCCAAATAATTGATCTCCTCCCTCCCTTTTTCGATAAAATTTTCTGTGTGCCAGAACACGGTTTAGTACATTAAATGTTATAATACAAGTGATTATAATTTTTTTTGCAAGTATCTAACCACTTGTATTATTACATTTGGTATATTGAGCCGTGTTTCTATCACACTGAAAAATCTCTCCCTCTTTTCACGTAGTGAAGAATTACAACCGGCCATTTGTGTTATAATGTATGTCAAAAACCAAACCAAACACTTGTGAGACACACCGACATTTCTATTGGTTAAAATCAGACAACTGGCGTGAAATTATCATGTTGTTAAACCCATCTAACATCATTAGTCATCTTACTTTACATGAATGCTAAAGTTTTGACAAATTATATATGATGTTTACAACGACTTTTACTGTGCACCCAAGTGCCACACTAATGCTCCTGAATTTTCTAATGTGCGACAACTCTTAATATTCTTTCACACGTTTGTTCACGTATTGTGAAATTCAAGTTAAATATGTGAATGATACATCATAAATTCTTAGTAAGTCAAGTTAAGAACATGTGATTATTGGGCTTCACGTGTGGTGCAAACTTAAGTTGATACATGAAGTTAAAGTTCCATCATGGAAAGGCAATTGGAGAAGTAGTCTTAGCCTTAGCCTATGTAAGATTTCTTAACTTTGTTCGTGAAACAACTCTCTACATCCTTATGAATACAACTAGATAGAAGAGTAGTTGATTACTTTTGCATTAAGTTGGAGAGTGACACATCAAATGAGGAGAAAGACAGGCACAAAAAATATATACTCGTTACACCTGAAATATTCTCATTGAAGTAATATTACGTGAAAAGACCGTCAAATCATCAGCCGCTGGCCTTAGTTCTGCTTCTCGTCGCATGCAGTCATTTGTGCACACAGCACGGCCTTCCCACGCCTTCATCGCTCTGTCATTGGGCATGTCCCGAATTCGATTTATTTTTCTTTCTTTTTATTTATTTGATTTTTCGGTCGTAAAGTCCTAACTTTTTAGTAGGAATTATTATATTTGTGAAGAGAAAAGAGAATTATTATTGCATATTTGGCAAAGGCGTGGGGGTGGGGGTGGGGGTGGAGGTCCACTTTGATCATTACGTGGAAGACAAGTCATGGAACATGGTGGCTGTGAACCCCACTTTAAAATGATTGGTAGGGAACCGTTTGGGACCCACTTGTCTGCTTGTCCCCCTCTCGTGAACTGCTGATTGGGCATTCCATCAAACATTACCGTGCCCTGTAATACCAGTGGATAACAGGTGGGTCCCTCCGTTAACCTTGTGGTTTCACACTCACTCGTGACGATGGTCGCACCATTACGTGATATCATCAACTAACTCAATAAAAATACTAAGAAGATTCTCGCAAAAGTAAGATTTTTCATACTCTTTGGCACACCATGTTTTGGATACAATAATTTATAATGTTGATACAAAAATTAACGTTAAACTATGAAGTAGTAGAGAATCCTCAACAATTTCGATGACTTCATTCTGATGTATACTCCTCGACAATTTCAAGAAACTATTTTTCTTTGCGAAAATCTCAAATGATAATGTAAAATTTCAAGTCGTCACAAAGCACTACGATATAATCATATTCTTTTTTTACTTTTACTTGCGTGTCATTGAAGAAAAAAGAAATATGGACCTTAAATATTTCTACACCGCATTTGTTCCAACAGAACGACAAAGATTTCATTTTCTACAAATGTTCGCATTGACTTTCTTCAATAATTTGTGTCAATATATTCGCAAGTCCTTTTCTGGGCAGGATGTTCAGCAGATAAAGAGAGCTTTACAAGGAAGCACGTGAGGAGCAGTCTTTCAATGAAAATTACTGAATTTCGTCGAAAAATCGTTACGTTCTAAAACAGAAATTCGTAGAGAAGATGAGTCGATTAAGGAAAAGAATCACCTAAACATGCGAAACCTAGGTAGAGATCAAAACGGTAACAGACGCAAAAACATAAAAATTACATAGCAGATTACACACTTTCTTTATACATCTTTGAGAATTCTTCGATTCAAGCAAGCGGATTGTTAGGATGCTGGCATATCAAATTATGTAAAAAAATGCCTACTAAACAGTGATTAACAATCTACTTCAATGGCAAAAAGCATGTTTGGATATGGCATTCCTTTTCGCTGGTGTGCAAAAATGGACATGTCTGCATATTCAGTGTTTGCTCTCCAAATTCGACCAGGGCAACGTTTTTCATGACTAGCCATTACCAGTTGCTCCCCTAACTCTACGTCACGACTTTGCTCCATTCAAAGGAGGCAACCTAAGAAATCGAGCAAACATCTTCAGCAAGACATCACTGTTCTTTGTGTACAAGTATTTCTAATCAAACTAATTCATATCACAAGTACAATCCTTAAGTTGGAGTTGGGATTACCGCTAAGGAAATCACGCAGAAGCATCAAGCTTGCAACAGATATGGTATACACGACATGGTTCCTGAAAGCAATCATACTATTACACAAAAAGGACAAGATGCCATCAATACAACCAATAGAATCTTGTATAGATTTGCAAGGTTTCAGATTTTACCACGACACTCAGTCACCCAGAATAGACAGCGGCTGTCTCATGCTAAGCTCTGCCTTAAGCAGCGGGAATTGCTCCAAATCATTAGAAGCACCTAACACTTTCTGCAAAAAGAATCACTGCACTGTGTTATACTACATGAACGAGAGCATCAACCAAACAGGAATTGCAGAGTCAACTATGCATTTGTACCATAGAAAATTAAACCTTAAACAGCAAGAAATTCTTGCACACGGATTAGTTGGATTAGTTTTATGTACTAATAGTCTAATAAATTGAAACGATGTAAAAGAATGGTAACCAAGAAATTATCACTGAATTTACATGATTAAAAGGGCACAACAGGAGTACTATTTACCAGAGCAGCAAGATGCGCTTCTTGTAAGATATTGCCATCTACTTCCAATCTTGCAATAGGAAACTCTGGAAGATGTCCTGACTGTTTCTTGCCAAGCAAGTTACCAGGTCCACGTAAAAGAAGGTCCATGTTTGCCAAATAAAAACCATCTGACGATTTCCCCAGGACCATCAGCCGAGTTAGACTACTGGAAGAAGATGCTAAAAGTATACATTTAGACTTTCTCACTCCTCGTCCAACTCGTCCTCTAAGTTGGTGTAACTGAGCCTATCCCAAATCTCTCAGCATTCATAACAACCATCATAGATGCATCCGGAACATCAACACCAATCTCAATTACTTGTGTGGAAAGCAGTATATCTGTTTCTCCAGATCTGAACTTTCTCAACGCTTCATCTTTCTCATCACTCTTCATCCTTCCATGCAATAATCCACAAGTGTAGCCCTGAAACCTATCAGATATAGCTTCAAAATCTGCCGCAGCAGCACGAAGTTGTGGCAGCTGTTCAGATTGTTCAATAACTGGATACACAAGATAGACTCTTCCTCCTTCTTTTAACTCGTCCAGCATCATCTGTTACAATGCTATATCATTTGCATCAGAAATAATAAAATCAAAAGGATAGAATTAGTAAAATCTTTCTATTCTAGTCTAACAAGAAAATAATATATCTGTCAAGCATCTTGTGAAGACGACCATGATCTCTTAACAGAATGATGAGCTCAGTGATGTTCTTCATTTTTTTTTTCAAATCCAAAACCTTTTCTGCACCAAATGGCTTTATTGTGTTTCAAATAAAAAAAAAAAAAATATATATATATATAAATACATATATATATATATTAGAGTCCTGTAACAAGGACAATCACCTCATAAACATCCTCAAATCCATTGTCATTTCCTTCAATGATGAATGTCTCAACTGGTATTCTTCCTGGAGGTAAGTCCGTTATCTGTTATTCAAAGAAAATAGAAACGAAAGAATCAACAAATACTCAACACAGGGTGTCAACCTATACAAATGCAGCGGCCACCAAGTAATTGTATATTTGTATACCTATTAACTTTTAAACTGAATATAGTTCCCTTTTAAACTAAATGTGGCACGAACACCTTGATTGCAATAAGAAATAATCTTAGATTGGCTTATTTCTTAAGAAAGTTCAAATTTTCACTGCAAACAAGACTTTAAGATTGGGCATCTCAATGTAATTTTTAAAGTTTAAATCACAGTCTTGAAGCCTGATATCCAAATGAGAAAAGAAAAATGCTTACCTGTGTCAATGACATATCCCCATATAAAGCAAGAGCAAGTGTTCTCGGGATAGGAGTAGCTGACATGGCAAGAACATGAGGAGCCATATGGTTGTCACCTTTTGAGGTCACATCTGAACTGGCGGCTACCATTCTAGAATTTATGGAGGTATAGTATAGCTGCAAGGATTAGTGCCTCAGTTAGCTCATCTTACAAAAAGAATTACAGTATAAAACGGAACCATTTCAAATTTCATGGAAACATCAAGAACAGCAAGCAGCATCCAAGGACATTCTAAAATGTTCACACAAAATGAACTCCTAGAACAATACCATCAAAATCTAATCATCCATATTGCATAAGGTCTAAATGAAACATTTTGCATACAGGACAAAAGTGGAGTACTACACCACCAGAGGACACAACTAGAACTACTTGGTTCAATTAGAAGCAAACAACCTTACTGTTAAACCGTCCTCTCTGGATCACACCAAAACGGTGTTGTTCATCCACCACTGCAATGCGTAATGCAAAGAATTCGATTTTGTCAGATATTAAACTGGTGGTTCCAACGACCATCGATATTTCTCCAGTCCTGAGACCCTGATACACACAATATCAATGTTAGTATCACTGCCAATAACTAGGATGCGTGAAACATTATACTTAACAAAACAAAAGAACTGGACATTAATCCATGCCTCAAGAATTATCCGTGATTGTTTTGATGGGGTTGAGCCTGTTAGTAAAGCAATTGAAGGTTTTCGTTCAACATCCTCCATATTTTCAAGCAATTTATTTAAGTGCTCGTAATGCTGGACTGCAAGCAACTCAGTTGGAACCATGAAAGCTGCCTTTACATGAAATGAATAAAAACAACCAGTTACCTTCGGTTAGTAACAAAGATCATAACTAATATTACATTACGAAAATGTAAATGAAATAAGCTCTGAAATGAAAACCTTTAAACAAGACCAACCTGATATCCAGAGCCAATAACCTCCATGCATGCTAGAAAAGCTACCACGGTTTTCCCACAACCAACATCACCCTGAAAATAAGTGTAACAATATTTATAAATCAAGAATGTCTCTTAGTTTTCAGGTACCTACTGCGCATGCCATGGTAATTAGGATGAAGAACAAGGGCGGCCAATTTGAAAAGAGCGAGGAAGAGAATTAGGGCAAATGTTTAGGCTTAAAACTGTATTCAACCAGATGCCAACAAAAATTTATCATGTTTTGTCCTCACTTTTTTTTATATACTGCAGGTGCTCTAGTTACATGACATGAATGTCAAAATCAGCATTAAAATACTGTTTCATATTGTAACAAATATGAACAATTGGATACATCCTGAACACAAGATTATAACCTGCAAAAGCCGATTCATAGGAACTGGTTGCCTTAGATCCCAGATGATTTCTGAAACGGCAGTGAGTTGACTAGGAGTAAGGGTATATGGAAGAGCTTTTGAAAACTTCTTGGTAAGAATGGACCATTCCTTCATATAAGCAGCACTTGATTCAGGTTTCCTGTACTTATCCAGCAATCCATCTTTCTCTATTTGTGTACCAAGACCTTCAAGCATTTGGTAAAGGCGCGCTAACTGACAGGCAATAACAACTAGGTCAGTTCAAACTTCAAATCCAAGAGAACAACTAATTAAGAAATTTTAGTCAACATCACCTGCAGGTAAAAGAACTCATCAAATATTAGCCTTTTCCGAGCCAAATCAGCTTCTTCCATACTCTTTGGTTCATGAATCCCCTTATACGCCTGTATTATTTGAGCAAAAAAGACAACAGCTCAAGTATTTCTGTATGCCAAAACAAGTTATTAAAAGAACAGCAAGGAGTAAATATAGCTAGGTCTTTAATAAATACAGGTAGACACTAAGACAAAGTGAGGCCAATCAAGATGCTAAGGTTCACAGGGGTATAAATGACCATAGTCAAAACTACGAATTTCAATTGCATATATGCTTGATAATAAGGACACAAGTGAAGTGTCTTACATCATGAAGGCCTAACAGCCCAAAGTCCTGAGTGATATTTTTAGGAATAGGATCAACATCGACAGCCAAAACTTGTGCAACTCTGGGACAAGTAAAAATAGCAAAGATTTAGTTTACTGGTCTTGGAGCAAGTTACAAAGAGATTACCTAATTAATACCATAGTTCAAATAATTCAAAACAGCTGCAAAGAACTAAGAAGTAACCCCCATGGGATGAATGGAGTAACGTTATTGCATAAATGATAAACACAAAATTAGATTTCTAATATTGAGAAACCAGCCACGCACCCAGAAACTGGGGTATGTTGTATAAAGAACTTAGAATAGGGGGGAAACTAAATTAGAATTGGAAACTATAACCCCGCTAAAGAGAGTGGTTATGTTATGATGTTAGAAATGAAGTTACATAAAAGGTCAGAGGCACAGACCTTGCAATGATGTCTCTCAAAACATTTGGATCTAAACCTCCTTTTGAAGGGTATATAGGATAAGGCCTCCCTTTTGCATGAAAAGACACTTCGTTTTCATCTTTAAGCACATCAATATTGTATTCTCTCATTTCATAGTGACCTTTGGCAGGCATTGTCCTTACCTATGTTAAAAGGCAACATGGTAAGTACAAGGCTCTAAATTAAGATAAAGATTCGAAAATGAATGATAAAATCTTAAGATAGCACTTGTACAGAATTTCATAAATCTATTCTGTTTACGCCCTAATGGTTTCAGCACATGAAAGGGTGAGCCAATTGAGGCAATTGCACATCCATTGTAACTAAAAGTGCTGCAAAGTGCACTAACCAGCGAGTGACCATAAACTTGTCAAAAGGTCTTTAAGGTAGTTCGCATGCAGGACTCTAATTTCTGATAACATTACAGGAATCTAAAGAGTAATCAGCAAACGCAGCAATGTGCTGGCTGATGGCTCCTTTATCTTTTCCTATACTAATAACGAAGACCAACAACAACAGGAGAGTTACACATAGATTCTGTCATCTTCCATCCAGTAGAAACTGGCTCTAAGTAATAGTTTATAGGTGCGCAAAAGGAATATGAATATTACTCTCTGGACTACATTCTTCTTGTGATTAACTATATATTTGAGCACCAAGTAACAGTCCAAATAATAATAATAATAACACAAAATATCAATGCATTCTAAACCAATAAAAACAAATTGAAGAGCAAGCAATTAGTCCAACAACAGAGAAAAAACCCATAAGCTTACCTTGCCACTAACACATACAAAGTCCCCCTCTTTATGCTTTCCCTCAACAAGTCTAAGAAAGGGTAGAGAAGTAAAACGAGCACCACGAAAAAATTTCTTCAGATGCAAAGAAATTGTCTTCTTTCTTCTACTATCAGCAGAATCATTCAAATGCTCAGTTGATTCATCGTCCATAATTTCGCAACCAACAACTACCTCAATAAATGAGAAAGAACTACTAGCTTTGATTCCCCTGTAAGAGAAGAGGTAAGATATCGATTTTAAACACAAAAACTTTACTGCAGATTGGCAACAAAAAGTGAGTGAATAAGTGGCTACATACACAAATAAATATAAATGCATGTAACATCTCTGGCGATGCTTTACCAGATATGAGATACAAAAGCACAATACTAGCAAATAATATGTCATGAAATGTTCTTCATTATGTCATTGAACTAGATATCCATTTATCTCGTACAGAAACAGATTAACATCACTTCATATGTCAAAACATCAAGGTGTCTGTCACCAAGTAAATTACATTCCCACTTGTGCCTCATTGTTTTTCGAAACATATTTGTTTCTCATTATTTCATGAACCATAACTATGAAACATACTAAAAACCTTAACAAGTAAGCTAACTTGGAATCTATCAGATTACACAAGTAGTGTCTTACCTCATCCAATTGATAAGGTTAGCACCAAAAATTCACTAGATATTTTGGAAAAAATTTAATACCTCGAACTTAATACCTTCCCAATGAAAATCAAGTATTGTCCATCATCAATTTTCATCTGAGCATTCTGTAAATCCGCATAGGTCCGAGGAAAGTGGTGAAGCAATTGCCGCAACTATATGGAAACAAAAGCAAAGCAATACAAACACAAGGCTTCTTTCAAATTCTCGATAAGAAGAGTAATGTGTCCCTTAACATAATTTCCTAAAACTCACTGTATGAAAGCCACAGTCTTCTAGCTGCCGACAGCGCTTCTTAGTTATTCCAGGTATGCAACTGATAGAACTGTCCAGGGAAAACTGAACAGACCCAGTATCATTTTGTGATTTAAGCAAAACCTTGTTAGAAGATTCCTCCACAGGAACTGTTTGATGTGAGTTTTCCTCAATAACCACAGTTGCGGACTGGAGAGATAAGGGCAACATTTAAGAATCTTCTCTTAATAAGGAATTTTTTACACTTGTATAAGCAGGATACATAAAATCCCATATTTCAAAAGATAATCTTCGTACCTGCTCTTCACACATAGTATCAGACAGAAATCCTTCACCACTTTGAGTTGACAAAAGCATCCTTTCACTGAAACTGGTGGTTCCATCATACAATTCCACCCGAGGGGAACTACCTAAAATGATTGATGGAAATCGTGCACACACCAAGGAGACATCAAATTCATCTATGACATCTCTAACATGCATACCGGACTGCTTTTCAGCTCTTTCATTCTCAATCAAATCATCAAGACTATCATAACCAACCAAAGCAGATACCTACAAGAAAAAGAAACAGAAGAATATGAAGAGCAAACTTACGCATTCCCTTAGTCAGGATCCATGCACATCAGAAAAAGTTACATCAATAACAGTACAACTTTTTGAGAATCAAACAATATCAAACTTGTATAGACACAAAACCTACCTTATTGAGCAACTTTGACCGATCTGAGATGCTTGCTATGCCAAAAATATCTACTTCCTCCAAATTATTTTTGACAAGACTATGCTTTGGACGAAAACATAATCTTGATACCGTTGAAAAGAGAAAATTACTGAACCTGCAAATCGAAATAGGCATGCCCACGTTATTACTTACATGCTGTCATAAGCAAAATCAAAATTGTATATAACTTCCAGACCTCATTTTTCTACCCAAAGCATTCCTATATCCCTTCTCAGCTTTGAAAGCTATGGCACTTCTCAATCCATTCCCGCTGAAGCACTGAAATGGAAACTCTTTGTCAATCATCATCTAAAAGATGTCGACTTTATCCCTGTGTTTTCAAATAGTTTTATAACATGTCAAAATAATTTACAACAACATAGCAATTACGCATTAGCCACTCCCAATCACTCTCATCCCGCATATGCTTGCGCTCTATTTTCCTCCTCAAACTCCACAACGCCGGACATGGACACTAGCATATTATCACATTCTATACGCTCAAAACTGCAGGCATTTTGTTTCTCGAGGGCCATTTTCCTGACTCTATGCAATATGCATTGTTATTCTGCAACTCTCACTCAAATCTAACGTGCTACCGAAAATTGTAAGTATATTGCAACTATTTCCTTCCGATAGTATTGAAGTTTGATGTGAATTCTCAACTCTCACACGGCACGATACAGAAACACGATTCGGGAAGTTCAAAACTTTAAAGCATCTTAGTAAGCAACTCTACCATATCTTACTTCGAAATCGAAAATTCTGCATAAAATTAAGGCTGTTGATGGGAGGAAATGAAAAAGTTAGACACTTACAGGTTGCACAGCTGAGACTGTGGGTGCCATGTGCAACAAGCAAGCTTACCCCAAGAACCGGACATCCCTAAACAGCAAAAACATCAAAACCTGCGCAGGATTGAGAAAACAGGTACACAAGAAGAATGCAAAGTGTCAAAACATGGAAAAATTAACCTCGGAAACAACATTCTTAACATTGACAAGGAACCAGACAACGTCAAATTTGTGATTTAACATTAAAATACCAGATTATAGCTCGGAACTGAAAGGAAAGTCTCTTTCTTTTTCTCTCTCTTCGTCTAGATATCTCTCACTCCCACGTCTGAGGATACTTTTCTCTGTTTTTCGATTTACTCCTTCAGAAAAGGCCGGGCCTTTACCGGCCCAGACAGATCCCCACGAAACCTGTTGGGCCTTTCTGAAAAGTTACAAGGACGAAAGTGAAAACCGAGTAAATACGGAAGCTATTAGTGCAATTTAGCCATTTTAGCGATTATAAATACAGTGAGCTGCTAGTTCTTTTAGCTAGGGTTTCGGCGGAGAGAGGGTGCAGCGTGGTTGCAGACGTTTGGGTTTAAGTTCATATCTTGCTTCTGCAATTTTTTATCAAGTTTGAATGAATCAAAGGGCTGAGGCAAAAGGGCAGAGCAATGAATCAATGGCTCTGATTTACTTGTAGGTTTTCTACAGGACCCCCTGCCATGGAAGCCCTGGAGATCAAGTCCTTCCACAGATTTTACTCTTCTGTGGGAGACGATGGCATCATAGTACGGGTTTTGTGCTTGAATGATGTGTTGGTTGTGGATCTGGAAATTTGGGACTCTCAAATCTTCCCTTCCCCGCCTCCTTCCCATTTTTCTCCTCTCACAAACCCGCCTCCAATCGCCATTACATTCCCCCAATCATCCCAAATTACATTTTTGTCCAAGTAACAAATTTTTTTAACAAATGATATTATTATACGTGGACATATAGGTAAATGACTGGTTGGTATTGCCGTGCTTTGAAAAAATATTATTTCTGCTGTGCCGTAAGAAGTAGTGAAATAAAGTAACATAATGGTAAATTTTTTTGTAAAAGTACTATTGAAAAAATAAAAAAATTTGTAGTATTATAATGTTTAATAAACTTTATGTAATGAAAAAAAATTGGTTTTTTTAAATTAGGTTTTGCAGCTTTGAGTTTTTTATTTTTTTTTATTCAAAATTATGAAAAAAAATTGAAGCTGAAACTTTACTAAACATTTATAACTACTTTTTTTATAATCATTTCAATACCAAATTAGAGCTAAATCTATAATAAACTAACAATAATATAGTTTAAATTATTCTTTGACAAAAATCAAACATAAGTGCTTTCATTTGATAAAGATAATAACTTCAAATTTTATGTGGTTTTTCAATTTTTCGTGGTTTATTTAATTGAAATTTTGAGAAATTTATTATTTTTTATAAAATTTAATTCATTAGTAAATATTTTATACAAAATTTTGATTCAATTATTTAATATTTGAAAAACTCAATAATTAATAATCAAATTTATTGGTCTTTTTAATTGAAATTCGAGAAATTTTAAGAATGCTTTTCGTTTAAATTTAGTAAAGCTCTCTATTTAACCTCAATAATCAAATGTATGGGAGATTATTCTTTGTAAGTTTGTTTTATTTTTATGCCTTTTCACGCTTTGTTTTTTTTTTTTTTTTTTTTTGAGTAAAAAGAAGTTTGAAAAGTAAAAAAGAAATATAGGAGAATAGTAATAAATATAAATATTGAACTGTAGGGAATGGAGAAGATGCGTATTTATAAAATAATAAAATTCTTACTTCTTTAAATTTAAATTTTCACTGTTGAATTATTTTTTGCCGTTGTTTTTTCGATACATCTAAAATTAGACGCACTAGAACATGCCATGTTGCACCAAAGTAATTTTATCAAAAAGTTCTACCGTTCAATGAGTATAAAATTACGCATTAATAATCAAGCGTTTTTATTTCATGTAAATCAATTATCGGGCAAGCATGCTTGCTTAAAGACTTTACAAGTGGACAGAATTGTAGAGCGAATCATTTGGGTTGTTGGTAACGATGAGAATCTTCAAAATGCAAGATGCCAAATAAATTGCACATTGTGGTTCACTTATTTGGGTTTCATTCTAATTGATTAATGAACATTTATAAATAAAACTAAGATGACAGTAAAGTTAAATAACTTTGATATGCTATGCATCTGACTCAATATCTTAGGTCATTTCCAATCGAATGAGGACCAAATAACTTCTTTTAGCCCTATAGTCATACAAGAAATTATGTTTTAATGAACAATACTATGCCATATTTTATATCATCTCCAACCGAGGGAGCCAAAGAGTCAAGGCCAAACATAGCCCTTTAACAAAAAACCATCTCCAACCGAAGGGGCCAAAGGGCCATAAGCCAAACATAATTTATTATTTTTCAAACATATTTTGAATCCCACTGGTCGTCAAATGAATAAGCCTCCAGATTTCTTATCTTTATACAATCTCAATAATTTTTTGGATAGGATTTCGAGTAACACATGTTGCTAACATGAGTAACTCTCCAGATTTCTTATCTTTATGTAATCTCAATAATTTTTCGGATAGGATTTTTCTAGATTTCTTATCTTTATGTAATCTTAATAATTTTTCAGATAAGATTTCAAGTGTCACGTGTTGAGATGTAATTGGTTGTGCAAATTTAGATAGGATTCTTATCTATGTGACATTTCTTATCTTCAGCTTTCAATATTATAGGTATGGTGTAGGTATTTATAGAAAAAAAAATTAATTTTTTTTTTAAAATTCGTCCAAAAAAAAATTTTTCAAATTCCAACGGTAACCTGACGGTAGCATGGTGTTAGCTAGCCGTTGCCGTTGGCATTCAAATGGGCTAAGCTAGAGGGCTGGCAAAATGTCAAACTTGACATTCTAGAGCTGGAAGGTTGGCAAAATGTCGAGCTTGACATTTTAGTGCTAGAGAGCTAGCCCGCTGGCCTGATTTGGGGGTTTGGGCTGGGGTGGTGCCCACAAGCCCTTTGGCTTAGCCCTCGGTTGAAGATAGTTTTCGTGTCATTCTAAGCTATTTTTAGCCATATAACCATTTGACCGGGTCGATTGGAGATGGTCTTAGTGGATAAGGTGTGAAATTTATATCAATGCGTCATATGTTCAAAACTCTCTTTCCTAAATTATTGTAATAATTTTGAATTCTCCTCATTCCTCTAATAATAATAGAATTAAAAAAGAAAAATAATTTTGATGTGTTCGGTCTAATAATACATTGTTATATGAAGAAAAACTTGTGCATGACAATGAATTATTAAATAAGAAATGTTATGTGACGGTGAACAAATCCAAAGACACATTATTAATCAAGCTTAATATACAAAATTATCACCCAAAATACAATAACCACGAAAATTAAACTTCACAATAATATCACCCATTAAGAAACCAAGAATGTCACACATTGCCTGAGAACTCAAAGGTTCAGCAGGTACAAGATGCCCTGCCCCTTAAACCACAGCATGGCTTAAACACCCCCTTGTCCAAAACCCAGTCTTCTATCATCACCTGCGCCCTCAACGGCTGGTCCGCCGGCAAAAGATGCCCTGCCCCGGAAACCACAACATGGCTCAAGCTCCCCCACTTCTGCACATACCCAGCAACCTCTCCCCTCACCTTCCAAACCTTCCGGTCCGCCGCCATAAACTTCCCAATCCCCTCCCACTTCATCGTCTTCATCCACGCCTCCGTTGAAACGATGCCGTCCCTCAAATCGTACTGCCCCTGGTACAGCAACACCTTACTCTCCTTCAGCAGATACTCCACCATGTACTTCACGCTCTTCATCACGTCCTCGCGCAATATGCCCCCTACAAAATCACTGCACGATTCGAAAGGCGCCTCCCCTTTGGCCCCCAGCGCCACCTTCACCGCCTCGAAGCTCAGCAATTCATCCACCAAACTCATCTTATAAGGCTCATTCTTCGTGTAGTCGTATAATGTGGCTAGCCCCGTCATGTCCTGCAGCGTATCCAACACTCTGTTTCTCGCATCCGCAGCCGCGCTCCAGTTCATCGCCGCCGTGAACCCTACCGCCTCCAATTGCAGCTTCTCCAGCTGCCTCCTCTGTTTCTCATTGATCAAACCACTGTAGAAAGCGTTGACAGCGTGAGTGTTCACCTGAATTATGGGGTCTGTGAGACCGTCTCCGATCGCAACGCCCTGCAAGTTCACCCCTTTAGACCCAGCTGGCAACTCAGCGTTTCTTTTCAAAATATAGTGTCCGATCGCCGGAACATACTTCCCGGCATAGCTCTCGCCGGTTATGTACATGGGTCGGGTTTTGAAGGCCGGGTCGAGCTCAATGAACTTGGTGATCGCGGCAAAGAGGTGTATCGCGACGGAGTGCTGGTCCCTCGGGATCTCTGCGGAGTTCGCAGCGATGCTAAATCCGGTACCAATCGGGTTGTCAAGGAATATCAGGCCGAAGATTCTGTTCCAGGTGGCAGAATTGGGTTCCAGAGCGAGGGGATCGGAAGGGTGTTTGTTGAAATTCACGCGCCATGGACCGAGCTCGTAAAAGTTGGCGAGCATGGAGGAGCAGCCGGGGCCGCCCTGGAGCCATATGAGGAGGGGGACTTTGGAAACGTCGGTTGTGAGGTTCTGAGCTTCGTAGAAAGTGTAGAAAATGGCAGAGCCGCTAGTGGAGTTGACCGGGAGGTAGCCTGATTTGGTGGGATGGGCTTGTTTGGGGAAGAGAGGGGGGGACGATGCGGCGGCGACGCGCCGCAGAAAGAAGAGGAGGAGGAGGAAGAGGAGGTTGAGATGGTTTCGGGCACTTGACTCCATCGATGATGTGGGGAGGGAGGGAGTGCAGACACTTTCTTTGACGATAAGTACCTACAGACCTCTTATACTAAAAGAATATGGACGGTTAGATGAAAATTCAACTGTTATATATTATAACTTTAAAGAGACTTCCTGTTTGCAGTCATTGGATTTTCATTCAACGGTTCACACTCCTTGATCAGAAGGATCCTCATCCTTAAATCAGGAGAGGTTCCTGATCCCCTACAGACCCCTTAAAAAAAAGGTACCTACGTACGACTCTTCATTTGCATGACACGTAGCTAAATGCACTTTGAATGCCGCAGAGAGATTTTTCAATGTGACCGGTACATGCGGTCGTACATCACGTGTCACTATACAAATGGTAGGATATGTGTGCTAAAATGTTAATAACTTAAAAAATAAAATTTCCCACCATTTTTATTAAAACACGTAATGTATCACTTGTGTTCTTACTACAACTAAAAATTTATCGAATGATACATGCGATTTTAAACCATACAAGAAAAATAAAAGTATTTCAAATTAATCATACAAAAAATAGCGGAATTTTAAATACTTATTTGATTCATATTAATGATGGGAATCTTTCAAATGCAAGATGCCAAATAAATTGCACGTGTTTATTATAACATTCATTTGCTTTGGCTTCTCACCCTCCTCCCCTCAAGCTTTGTTGATTGGACTCTGTTGCCCTTGCCGGCTATGCAACTTATATTCTTTTCTTGCTTTCTCTAGATACAACCGTACAACAACAACTATACAAATTACCTAATGAGATCATCATGCTCACGTAATATTACATTTTTTTTTTCGGATTAGTACTTACACTGTCATGATGGTATTCCGTGTTAATAAAATAAAAATATAAGTAATTTTTTCAAATGTCCGTGTTTCATTAGTTTGGGACGACATGTAAATATACTATTTTTGTTATTAAAAAAAAGAATAACATGTCTGTCTTAAAAAAAAAAAAAAAAGAGTAATTTGGGCCCAGCCGGGTTCCAAACATATAGTGCCCGGCCCAAGTTGCTTAATATATCGCCATTTTGCAACCCCTCGCAGTCCCAAGACGCCTGAAAAGTGAAGGGCACACCACCTGTTTGATCAAATGTCGAGCTGAAAATTCCCAAACGTTTTGGCCTTCAGGTACTCAAATTATAGTCTCAAATCACGATGAATGTGTTCAATGGATGCAAAGAAATTCTAAAGATTCAGAAGTTTCGGAGAATCGTGTCGTACGCTGGATTCTACTGCTTCACAGCAGTCCTGACCTACGCTTACACAAGCAATACGTGAGTCGCTTTTCAACCTACCTCGAACGCGTATGAAATAAGAAAAATATTTCTGGGTTTTGAAGCTCGTGTTGTTTTTAACTGCTTTCATCCATGGTATTTGTGTTTGGTGTTGCAGAACTCGAGCTGGGTTTTCGAGAGCCGACCAGTTCTATGCTTCTTACCCAGCTGGAACCGAGCTCTTGACGGATACGGCAAAGGTTTGTGAGAGAACTCTACTTATTTGAATGCAAAAGGTTTTAGCTGTCTATGTGTTTGATTTGATTTGTGTTAGTTTCGTCTTCTATGTGTCCGTGCCCTTGCACCCGAGTTCGTATTAGATTAAAGTGTTCAGAATATCGTGTTCTCAAATAAAAAATTGAATGTTTGATATACTACTTGAATAATTCTTGGTTTGTTGCTCAGTTGTATAAAGCTGCGCTTGGTAATTGTTTCGAAAACGAAGAATGGGGTCCGATTGAGTACTGCATCATGGCCAAGCACTTCGAGCGACAGGGGAAGGGCCCTATGCGTACCATGCTGTAAGTTACTCGATTCTACTTGAATTTGCATTCTAGTTACGTTTTGATATTCTGTTTTTCTTGTGAGAATTGCTATGTTAGTGCACAAATTTTTCTGTTGCTGGTGTTTTGACGCTTCCAGATTCAGCATCTCTTGTTTTTAGAAGCTAGAAAAATTGCATAAGCATTCTCATTCGTCATTCCATCTTGTTCGTATCCCGTAGGCGTAGAGCGGTTCTCAGTTTTGGTTTGCACAAGACAATTACAAACTGCGCCATAGTGGCGAAAATTTGACAATGCTATTTGCCTGAAGGAGACGAACATGAAAAATGTGCTGCGTCAAACATTGTCATGAAAATAAAGTTTCGATCCCTACCAGAGCGGTGACTATCTACATTTACGTTGTTATACTTGTTTTCTTTCCCAAACGAATGGCTATAGGAATCGTTTGTAGGGTTTTCAGCTAGCTCAAAAGTGATCTTTGGTCTTATGCAAGCGTTAACAAGCACCATTATACGCTCACTAAACTGCTTCCTCCACCTCCTCGTCTTTGTTAACTTAAGGGTAGAGTTCACTTTTATGTCGATTGACCTGTTTTGTGAACTCTCCTCAGCGTTCGTAAGAAGCGGTTATGATTCTTGTTAGCTCAGTTATGTATTGATGCCCCAAATTTTACTTCAACAATTCCATGGGTAAACTGTTACATAGAATGAAAGCTCATTCAGTGCTTTTTTTACTTATGCATTTTGTCTGCATGGTTGCAGCATTACATGGCACACCTTCTGTCACACGGGCAGCTCGACGGAAGTGGATAGAACTAGAGCTGTTCGCCGGATGACAAGTAGCACGAGCGCATACCACATCGGCACATCTCTACGAAACTTGACGCTCGTGCTGATACTTTACGTATACACGATGCCAATCGTAAGATGTGAGGATTATAGAGCAGATGAATCCCGTGATGCTGGAACTTCCTTTGAATCATTTTGTTGTTCTATCACCCAATACAACATATATTTAATCTAAATCATGGTTGTAACAAGCGTTTCCTGAATAATCCGTTTTTGTTGTATGAAGCGTTTTCCCGTATAATCCGTTTATGTGCTTTCCTAATCACAATTAATCAAAGTAATTAACAGCTCTCCGATACCGCAATTGTGAACTTTACTAGCATTCTTCCGGCACATAGGTTTAAGAACAAATCATCATATAGGTTTTACAAATAGTGTAACTGCCAAGTGAGTGGCATTTGCCTTCTGGCCTTAAGAAAACAGAAGAAAATGAAAATAAAATGCAAGTCCGCGGTAAAAGACCGTAAATTATCAGGAAAATACGGCGAACAAAATAAATCCATCCCACTTGGTAATGCAGGCTCAATCTTATCAGATATATCAATACCAGTTGTAATGTGGTATGGTGCTGCTGCAATCCTCTACGACAGCACGTTGACCATCTCTTCGTTTCTCCCTGCCATTCGATCTTCCTGCAGAGGTGGACAATGTGCATGTACAAATTTGGATTTCAAAGAAAATCGGGAGGCAGCTACCTAAATATACTGAAAAATCCGGGAACTCTTACCTCGCAGTACTGGCTTTTCATAACCACGCACTTAGAAGCGCTAATGCTATCGCTCCTCCACAGGCTGTGGGGACTATGGTTTCGATTATTAACGCCATTCGGTATAGTTGATCCATTTTGATATATTGGTTCTGGTACTTTTACCTCCTGAGACCCTTGAGGGCTATGAACAGCTGCACGACCCACTGAAGCCGTAGTACTCTTTTTAACGTTACCATTTTGCTCCGCAGCCTCATCCTGCGACATACACACTCGTTCCCTATGGACAATAAAATGGAAAGAAATCAATATTGTGAAGATGATAATGGAACTCGAGTAGAAGTGAAAAAAAAGGAATTCAACGCAATTTGTTCAAAATTTTACCTAGGTAACGAGGCATGCTTCCTTTGAAGCGCAGTGCTTCTTTCACCTTTGCTATAGTGTGCCTCAAGATGCTCGAACTGTCGTCTAAATCGATCAACTCCACTGGTGGACACAAGATGAATTTTCACTATACGTATTCTCATGTAATATGAAATCACAATATAAACATATGCAAGGATGCGCATCATGAACAAGTAGTAGTTTTACGAACAAATGCTGACCTTGGATACATGAAGCCAATATTATCTGAACCTTGAAGGTAATCCTGCAGCATCTTCGGATGATACTCCAAAATCTGAACGATAAGAACATTCGCTATGAGTAGGTGGCGAGGAAAGAAATTACCAACAAGAAGAAGTGAAGGATAATACCACCGAAGAAAACCATCACTGACGACAGTCATACCTCTCTATAAATTAGCTCTCTCACATCATCCTTTGTCAGTCTACTCCTCTCGAACTCAAACTCGAGCTTTGAAATGGGCTGTCTGGACGGTTCCTGGTCCAAATTTGCCAATCCAACAAAATATGGGTCTGCTAAGGCCTGTAAAGAAAGCAATGAATTTTATCAGGACACAGATACATAAGAAATGAAATTGTGGTAAACAACTGTTCTCATTACAACGTTACCTCTTCAGCAGAAGGGCGATCTCTAGCATCAAAAGCAAGCAAACGCTCAAGCAAACGAAGAGCCAATGGGTCCGCATTTGGGATTTTTTGCGAGAGAGGAACTGGTTTCTTTCTCCTCATGCTACTTAAATATCTTCTGGCCTTTTCATTCCTAATCTGCAGTCATTAAGATGATCCCACAGGAACAAGTTCTTTTAACACTGTCCTAATAAAAAATGACATCGACAAAAAGAGATAACAAACCCTTGCAATAGATTCAGTGGGAGGAGTGCCAAGTAAGTCGGTAATGAGATCCAATTGATGCACAACATTTTTCCCGGGAAACAACGGTTTTCCTGTTAGCATTTCTGCAAATATGCACCCTATGCTCCATATATCAATAGCAGGGGTGTACTGCATATACAAATTACAAAATGCTTAGCCGAAATCTAAAAGGGTTTAGTTTTAGAACAAACTTTGCGAAAATTATCGGAGTTAAAACATTCAGAAAGCCTTGCAGCAAAGAGCATTATATCACTGTCAGCAAATTATTCATTTTATATCACTGCAAGCTGAAAATCTCACAACACCATATTTACACACTCACCTTGGAGAAAAAGGAACCACAGAGTTCAGGAGCACGGTACCATCGAGTTGCCACATAATCCTTGGAACAAGCAAAAGGAAAAATACAGCATTAAGAACGAAAAGGAAGCTAAAAAGGCTAATAACTACTACATCAATGGCAACCCACAACTTTTTTTTTTTCTCCATAAGATTTACACATACAGTCCAAAAAATGGTTGATGGAGCGTCATTACACGCAGCACGAGCGAGCCCAAAGTCACAAATTTTCAGTTTGCAGTCTGCATTAGCAAGTATATTTTTCGGCTTCAAATCTCGATGGAAGACATTTGCTGCAAAAAGAAGAAAACAAAGTCATCAGATCCATAGATTATGCGAAAACGAAGGAAATCCCACAGTAGTGCAACAAAATGATCGTCAAACCTGTATGTATATACTTGAGGGCGCGAAGAAGCTGGTACAAGAAAAACTGATAATGCTCGGGAGTGAGATCATCATTCGCCTTAATAACTTGGTGAAGGTCAGATTCCATCAACTCAAACACAACGTATATATCTTTAAATTCTCGCCGGCAAGGGGGTAGCATTATATGCCTGATTTCGACAATATCGGGGTGATGCAGCAGCCGAAGGAGCTTAATTTCGCGCAAAATCCTCGTAGCATCGGAGACATGCTCGAAGACATCGTTGATCTTCTTAATGGCCACTTTCTCACCTGTGTGAGTGTCAACTGCTGACGCAACAACTCCATAGCTACCTTTCCCAATCACTTCCTGGATTTCGTACTGGCTCGCCTCACCATATTCTGTGAAAAATTCCTTGTCCAGCATCTTCTGAATTCAGAAAAATAAGGCCAGATAGCAAATTACGAGCCAAATTATAAAAAAAATTAAAAAAAATAAAAGGATTTTACATTAAAAGGAAAAAAAAAAAGAAAAAAAAGGGAAACTTTGAAGAACCTCGTCGTATTTTAGACAACAATTAAACCACCCAGAAGATTAGATTGCCTGATCCTCTCCGGGAACAAAAAAAAAAAAAACCCAGAAAAGGATATGACAGGTATGAAATGATCAAGGATATGAACCCATCAGATGTATGTATGTATATATATGTGTGTGTGTGTGTGTGTGTGTGTGTGTGTATCTGTGTGCAGGATACAGCAGTGCAGATTTGAACTTGTCAACAGAAATGTTCTTATGAGCGATCACCCATTAATAATTAATGGAAAAAAAAAGTCAAAAAAATTAAAGGTAAAGAAAAAAAATAGAGAGAGAGTCATGAGGGAAAGAAAGAATGGAAGCCGAAAAATATTAAAATTGAGCAAAAGACAAGTTATTGTGACCGACTCAGCTCTGTAATCCCCTAGAAAAGCGAACCTTATCTTATCAGAAAACCACGGAGAGAGAGAGAGAGAGAGAGGAGAGAGAATATATTATGATTTGAGCAACAACTGGGTTACAGTCTGTAATCCTAGTGCGGCTGACCTTATGATAGTCCATAGTGGCGACTCTGTGATTGGTCCTCATCGGCACCTTGATGGGCTTCAATCCACTCATGTCCAGGTCCACCGTGATCACCAACTCCCTCTGCTCCTCATCGGTGCTGGCCGATGACGGCGGTGGCCGTTCGACGGCGTCGTTTGAAGAAACATCACCGTGGTCGACGGAGGAAGAAGAAGAGAGGCCCTGAAACCAGCGGCGAATGCCCTCCATGTCGAGAGTCGAGAATCGAGAGTTGATGAATCTACTGCCCGCGTTTTGCGGAGCTTTTTCTTCCTATGTACTCTGTTTTTTTTCCCTGTTTTGATGGCTCGGGAAACGTCCGAGATTTCAAAGACTCTATCCGTGTCTGTGTCTTTGTCTACACTTAACCAGCTGTTTGTTTTTTAGGTTTTCCGTTCTATCAATCGAGCGTTTGTAATATTGAAACATTAAATATTATGAGTAACATCGCTGGCTTCCTAGGTTACTAATTAATTACTTTTTCTGTTGGATAAGATGCCGACCACCTATTTGTCTGTTTGGGTAACACTTGCTGCCGCGCCACGATTGCACCTTCTGTCGTGGTTTATCTTTTTTTCGATTGTAATCAAAACAGTTCATTTTCATTTTCTTTTGAACGAATGATGTTTCGTTGTACAAATACATTAATTATAATTGAAATAAGCAAAGAGGTGTGCCTGTGACAAGATTTTTTTTGTGTGCAGAAAACACGACCCGATTTATTATGTGTCATAATACAAATAATTAAATACTTGAAAATAAAAATTCATCCATTTATTTTATAACATTTGGTATACCGGATCATGTTTCCGGCATACTGAAAAAAAATTTATGCCCGTGAGGGTGGTTATTCTAAAATGATATTTTCACGAAGTTCTATTTTTTTTAAATTTTATTGTTATTAATGGGAGAGGTAGGGTTCGAATTTAGAAGGGGATTTTCGAACCTAAACGCATCAATGATAACCCAACAACCTATTAACTTCACAACGACATTAGTCGATATGCAAAGTCTTTTCTACTGTTATAAATTAACATCAAAAGCTAAATTAGTGGTGATTGTTTCATATCTATTACTGTTTACTAGTGAGATCATCGTGATTCGTGGCAAAGAAAACAAGAGTAATACGTAACTACCACTTCCAGGACGCATTTGGAGCAAATTTTCTGTTTTTGGTCCTCACTGCAACTGCTCGATCTCAAGTTTCTCTGGGATCTCAACATTTTCTGCGACTAATTTTGGTTTACGAGGCCTTCCTCTGCCTCTGCGCTGCGGTTGCTGCTGTGGATGATGGGGTTGAGAGGCAGAGAAGGCACCCCTCCGCCTTGCTTGGCTTACGAGGCCTCCCTCTTCCTCGGCCCCTTGGTGGCTGCTCATTTTGATCATGTTCAGGTACCGATGCCCTAGTGCTTACATCCACATTGTTTTTAGCTTAGGAGGCCTGCCTCGACGCTTTGGTGGCTGCTCCTCATGACGACTTTCAAGAACAAGGGGTACCCATTGCCAAGAACTTTCCGAATCTTTTCTTGGTTTACGAGGCTTTCCTCTACGTCCCTTTACCTGTCCTTGCAGTGGTGGTTTCTGTTGCTGACCATCAGGAGCCAAGGGTCCCTTTGATTGAGTCTTCGGGTTTTCATCACCATGGCATTCCAATATCTTACTTCCAACCTCAAAATTTTGCCCTTGGACTACATCTCCAATCTCTCTGATTTTTACTGGTTGCGGATGACAGTGATTTTCAATGTCTTCAACTTCTTGAGCTTCTGGTTCGTTTTGCTCATAGGTCTCCCCACTTTGCACTTCTTCTCCATCCAACTCTATGCCTGCCTTCTGCATTGTCAAACAGAAACCATACACAAACAGAAAGTCACGAAAGGTTTTCGTTTTTCTTGGCAGTTTCAATATTTCTCTTTTAGTTGAGTGATCCTACTACCTTCCAATTCCATACAGTATCACCAATAAAATACATTTACCAGATAAGCAAAGTAAATATGAATATAGTAGAAACCAAATGCGGAGAACGAAAAGTCACAGGCTGTACCTCAAAATCAAATTGTTCCTCAATCATTTGCATTAGCTTCATTTCCGATTCACATTGGTTTTCAGTCACTCCAAAATGCTCTTGCTTTTCTTCATTACGTCTTCCCACCACAATGCTTTTTCCAAAACCTTCATTTTGCTCCCCTTCCTCCCTACCTCCATCCTCATTTCTGCCCTGTCTACCCTGTACCCTTCCCGGCCCCCTTTCGCTCCTGCACTCTCTGTCCTCCACGCCCCCATCACCACCATCCTTAACCACTACATCGTACCTCTCACCTTCCAAACTTATGCCCAATATCTTAGTTCCGACTTTAACATTTTGAGCTTGTGGTTCGCTTTGCGTATATATCTTCCCACTTTGCTCTTCTTTTCTATGATGATTTTCTTTGATCACTTCAGCTTCAATATGTTCTTTTACCGTTTCATTTTTAACCACTTCTCCATGGTTATATTTCGGTTCGACAAATGCCACTATTCCTTCTTCACTCAAACCCCCTTCATCCAACTCCTTGCTGACCATCTGCACTGTCAAACAGAAATTACACACACACACACACACAGAGAATGTTGCCAGCAGCAAAAAAAAGAACGATAGTGCTAATGATGAAAAGAACCTGAAAATCAACGGAAAGTAAAAAACAAGATCCAACAAGAAAATATCAAGTGAAGATGCAATAATGGTGATACGTGAACAGCATTGCTCAACAAAATTCAAGCCAAACAAAAGATTACCAGATAAGCAGTTAAAAATGTAATCAAATTGTCCTCCACTCACTTGCATTTGCTTTGTTTCTGGTTCACATTGGTCTTCAGTCACTCCAAAATAGTCTTGCTTTTCCCCCGCGTCACCTTTATCTTTTAGCTGCATCTCTGCAATGCTTTCTCCAAACACTTTTTTCTGCGCCTCTTCCTCCCTACCTCCATCCTCAATTCGTTGCCGTCTACCCTGTACTCTTCCTTTCCCCTCCCGCCTTTTGCTATGGCACGCTCTGTCCTCCACATTCCCATCATCATCTTCATCATCCTGATTCGCAACATTGTACCTCCCACATTTCAAACTCACAACCACTCCACTCTCACAAAGCTTCCTCAAATGATGCCTCAAAAAACCTTCATGTGCCACTGGTAAATCCTCGTATTCCCTTTTGATAAACTCCGATATGCCCCCTTCACTCGCCCCACCATCCTCATTCAACGCCTTTATTGCCCTCTGAATCATCTACATTAAAAAAGAAACACAAAGAAAACAAACGAGGTCATAAAAATCACACCACACACAAAAAGAGGGGAAAAAAAGGCTCTACTCACTTCTACGTCGTAAAAGGACTTTTGGGATAAGCAGTTAGGATTTTTGATAAATATTGTCAGCATGTTTACAGTAAAAGAACTTCTAGCAAAAGCCCCTTTGAGCGAAAATGCTTCCTTTCCTTCAGGACAAACAAAAAAGCTTCTAACTACCTTCGGTCGTATAAGCACTTTCTAAGCCAGGTGATTTTCCAGAAAGCACTTAAATTCTTTACAATCACTTCGACACTTCTAGTAGAGTTCTTATGAGCAGATGAGCTACTTACAAAAACAGTCCCAACAGTAAAAGCACTTTTAAAATGTACTGAATGAAGTGAAACAAGAAATTAAACAACCTTGATGTGTTATTAAAGTGAATTTTACCGAGGCATAAGGAGGGTGATTCGGAATGTGGAATGCCGGGATGAGCAGCCGGAGGCCGCGCTCGATGTTGGACTTGAGGCGGTAGGAGTCGATGGGTTTGGAAGGTTCGGAAGCGGCAATGCGGGCCAAAACGGCGTCGCTGAGCCTGCGCCTGAAGCGTTTCAGCCTATGGTCATCGGCGCTTCGAAGACGATGAAGGAGCGGGTCGGGTTTTAGGGTTGCCATTTTTTGGGGTTTGAGAATTGAGAGCGGGTGGAGAGTGGAGACACACTTTGTATACACTGTGAGATCGTTCGTACTCTGATTAAATGTTGAAAAATATATCAGTTAACTTTTTGTTTAAGCTTTAATTAGAATTGCTTTTCTTCTTCTGTTTTTTTTTTTTTTTTCTTCTTCTCAAAATTAGAATTTTCAGAGGCTTTGAGCATGATTATGGATGTTCGGCAAGTACAGTCATGAGAATGCTAATCCATATTCATGCGTTTGAAATTTTAATGTTTGCGCACCCTTCTTATTTACTCGTTTTTTGAGTTGTCAGTAGATAAATATAAATTTGAAAAACTTAAATTTATTCAATGATGATAAATAAAGTGGTGAATATCACCATCACTTCAGGCTTTGGTCTGGCTCATAAGGCTACTTGCCCCAAATCTAAGGTCATTTTCAACCGACTCGCCCAAATGGTCATAGGGCTAAAAATGGCTCAAAATGACACGAAAATCATCTCCAACCAAGGGTTAGGCCAAATGACTTGTGGGCCCAACCAAGCCCAAACCCCAAAATCAGGCCAGCGAGCTGGCCATTTCCAACCAGCCCTCTAACGCCATAATGTCAAGCTTGACATTGTGCTAGCCTTCAGCTCCAGAATGTCAAGCTTGACATTTTGTCAACCTTCTAGCTCAGCCTATTTGAATGTCAACGGCTATCTGGTGTCAGCTAGCTAACGTCATGTTGGTGTCAGGTTACCGTTGGAATTTGAATTTTATTTTGGACGAATTTAGAAAAAAAAATCTAATTTTTTTTCCTATAAATACCTACACCATTCTTACAACATTGAAAGCTGAAGATAAGAAGTGCCGCATAGATAAGAATCCTATCTAAAATTTGCACAACCAATTACATCTCGACATGTGACACTCGAAATCCTATCCGAAAAATTATTAAGATTACATAAACATAAAAAATCTGGAGAGTTACTCGCTTTAGCGACACGTGTTATTCGAAATCCTATAAAAAAAATTATTAAGATTATATAAAGATAAGAAATCTGAAAGCTTATTCATTTTGCAACAAGTGGAACTCAAAATATGTCCGCAAACCTTATTTTAATAAGATAGTTTAATTTAATTAACCATATGAATTTAATTAAAATAATAAATTATATTTAATCTATGATCCTTTGGCCCACTCGGTTGGAGATGGTATAAAATATGACCAACCAAGGTTCATTAAAATATAATTCTTGCAGGATTATAAGACTAAATGGAGCCTTCTGCTCCCTTCTTCTGTTGGAGATGGCCTAATGGCTCGATTCTTTCGAATGGAACTGAAATCTCTCATATTTTTGCATTCTGATGCTCTATGCAATCACCATGCCAGGCAAAAGCATTTGAAGCAACGAGTAATTCCACATAGAATTTTATTGTTCTAAGTTACAACAACCCAAACATAAATCTAATTACCAAGTTCTCTCCTTATCATTTACAAAAAGCAGGAGCCCTACTCGATCCAAATCCAATGAGGACATAACTGCACGAGCACACCCACGGCGTTCACCACTTTGTCGATTTACATTTCGCAGATAAACTGCTTCCGTCAAAGTAGGACTGGAAGGTCTTCATCACTTCCTCGTACGTTGGCCTCTTGTAGTCCACTGCCTGTAATCATCAAACAACCCGTATTTGATCATGTCCGTGAAACATTATTGGAAAAGGAATTGAGTAGAATTATGGTTTTTCATCGTACCTGTTCGATAACTTCTTCAGGGGTAGCCCATTTCCACTCTGCAAATTCTGGATCAGCTGCCCCATTCGCTAAGTTGATCTCGCTCTCATTTTTTGTGAACCTCATAAGAAACCTGTCAATTGCACTAACTCGTTGTTAGGAAGCGGAAACTTGTGCGTCCTTATTTCCATCCATTCAGACACTCATCCATACAGATTTGTAGCAACACATGAAGCACATTCTAACAACTGAAAGACTACATCAAGCAAGTTCATATTTTAACCGAGAGAGGAGCATGATGACTTAACATTTACGTGGTTAGCAAGCTCAATATCGAAATTTATCAGTCATCGCAACAAATACAAGGTATTTCATATGCCAGAGTCACTACTACACATGCCGAGTATTCAGAGGAACACATCCGCAGTAAATTACTAGCAAAATGTTTCTCGAGAAATACTTTGAGAATGCAACAGTACATATCTGGTGACTAATGAGGAAATAATCCTAGTATATCGATCAGACACGTTCAGACAGACAGGAAATAGAAGTTTTGGCAAACAAGTTGCAAAGCTTAGGAAGGCAGGACTTAAAATTCATGTTGTTTTCAGTTCGTCAAGTGTGTGCATGTGAAGGAGTAAGGACATGCCATTTTTGTGCTTGCCCGTGCCATTCACCTCCCCATAGACGATTAACTTTGGTCTTCACGGCAGGTGGAAAGTCATAAGTTAACCAATTCGGAACCTGTCAATATGCAGCCTTGTTAATCACGAGCGTGCAAAATTGACTGCAACATCAAGCTGCTCACCCAGCATAGTTATAAAACTCAGCCTAGTTCTTCAGTTATGAACTCTAACCAAGCTATACAAACCTCAGCAATAATTTCAGCAGACTCTATCCCTGTCTCTTCTCGTAATTCCCTAATAGCTGCGTTTTTGGGTTCTTCGCCATCTTCGATACCCCCCTGAGAAATGAGGATCCAAAAACAATTCACTTATCAATGTAAAGTATAAATTAACCATAAACCCTATGTGCTTAAAGAATAATCATCTTCAAGTTTCGACATTGGTTAAGAAGCGCCGGAGTCCATGGTTTGATTCCCCCCTCCTCCTCCTCCTCCTCCTCCTCCCAATATCATTTGTACATCAACAAAAGAATATTGGTTATATATGAAGCTCTATCATGGTTGAAAAAGAAAGAGATCCGTTGAGTGCGGTTAGTGCGGTTAGTGGTTACTACCTGAGGCATCTGCCATGCACCCGGAACATTCAATCTTGATCCAACGAAAATCTGCAGTAAAATCTTCACCCGTTAAAATTTCCTCCCTCAAATATGTCTACTTCAAAATTTACAACCGCTCTTCTTCATCAAAAGATGGTTTAAACAAAGCGATATTTTAAACTACTCTAATCTACAGCAGTGATTCAAACTCATATGCAACAACAAGAACAACGGATTTGATTTACTGGGTGTTAACATGGTAACAATACTTGATCAAATCTAACCCATAAGCATACAAGACCCCACCAAAGAGTCGAAGAATAATTAAGTGGGTAATTAATTAAGTTAATTAAAGAGATTAAGAAGGGAAAAGAAGATTCGGGTACCAGATTATCGGAGTTAATGAGGCAAACGCCAACGTTGGGACGATAACCAGGCGGCAGATCGTCCATTTTCCTCTGCTTCTTCTTCTTCCTTCTCTCTGCTCTGCGAATGATTGACCCTCAGAAAATCAGAAGCCCAATCCCAAGAAATAAAAAATAGTGGGGGTTTGGGTTTGTGGGAATTAGTGACGCTGGCCGTGACAAAATGATGAATCAGACTCTTTATCTTGCGCAACTCTCAAAAGCAACTTATATGAAATAAATTCACAATCATGTGATAATATTTTGTCTTAATTTAATAATACATTAAGAAAAATTTAACAATATATTAGATAAAAGACCCACGTGGGTTGCTCTCTACTTTTTTTCTCGAAAGATTTTTTTTAATATGATCAAAACACAAAATAATATATCATGTATCGTTATATAAATAATAAATATATGCGTTAAAAAATTAATAACTTAAAAGTTTTCTCCCAATCAAGCGTACTCTTCTACGTAACTCCCCTCACTTTCTTGCCATGATGGGCGTCTCACATGCATACAGTGTCTTTTTCTTTTGTGTCTTAATATTTCTCATGAAATAAATAAGTTTGAAAAAAATTATGAAGTTTGACAACCGAAGAATTCACATACGTCGACATGCAATCTAATATTTTATAGGAAGCTTTGCATATAAATACAAGTAGTTTAAATTATTTCAAAGATATACAAAAGTTTAAAATTTCAACAAAACCTAGTTAAAAAACAAACAAACTAAAATTTGAAAATTTCACACATGCCTATAATAGACTTATTACTTAACCAAGCCAAAACTACAAATTGATGCATTTATAAACTTCAAATTGATTTTAGATTCGTAAAGATTAATTTATGCATTTCTCTAATATTAGTTTCACAATTCATGTTCTTTTGCAAGATCAATTTCACCAATCATGCCTCTTTGTAAGATCATTTTTATAGTAAGATCAATTTCAAAATTCTAGCACTTTTGCAATATCAATTTCAAAATTCCATCACTTCTACAAGATGAGTTTCAAAATTTTAGCACTTTTGCCAGATCAGTTTAAAAATGTATGCATCCAACTAAAAAAAAAAAATCAAACACTTAAAAAAAATATTATATATAATTAAAAAATCTCAACTTGTTCTCATAAAAGAAAAAGAAACATTCATAAATCTAAGAAACAATACAAAGAAGAGGAGGAAAGAGAGAAGTACGAATAAGAAGTAGGAGAGAGGTAGGAAGAAGAACGAGGATGAGGGAGAGGTAGGAAGAAGAAGGAGAGAGAGAGAGAGAGAGAGAAGTAATGAAGACAAAAAGAAGTTAGAGAAGAATGAGGAGAAAGAGACCCATGTTTCAAACATAGAGACGTAAAATTATAAATGCAAAGATAATTAAAAAAAACAACCGTGACATCATGCCACATTCCTCTTTAATATAACTAAAATACTTTGTCTTTCCCTAAAATATAGTCTTATAGTTTGATTCTATGTGTAATTTCTTCTATTTTATATACGCTAAATTACTATAACCATTTTAGAATATTTTGTATCACTTCTGTCCTTGTAGATCAATTTTGTTTATTACTCACCCAATTCATTAAGTTGGATGACTAATGTAAAACAAAATATTTTACAAGGACTGAAATGAAATCTTGGCGAACTTCAAAGATGATTACTGCAATTTGACGTTTTAGTTGTTTGAATTTACAATAAATTTTGGAAAAAATGGGTAGAGCTCATGGTAGGGAGTTGAGGGCGCGCACATAGGAACATGCCTTTGGTAGTCGAATGTGGCGCGTGATGGTGACATGGGACTGAAAGTCAATGACCGAACATGCGCATAGAAAAAGATGAGCGTAAAAAGAGGCAGCGCTAAAAGACAAAGAGCCAACATAAAAGTGGCGAGAAAGGCCGTTGACTTTGGGTAACTGAGAGTCAGAAAGTGCATCTCTACTTTTTTTTTTTTTGTTGGAAACTTTGCATCTTTACTTTACATATCATCATTGTTACATTTCTGTCGTTATCCTCTTGTCGACCATAAAAAAAAAAAAATTTATATGGAACGAGTATATTATATTTTACATTCTCAATCATTAAGTTTCTTGACACTTAGCACTGTATATTGTTATATTGGATTCAGAATGTCACGAAAAAATAAATTCATTTTATGCAAGTTGATCGTATTTTGTACATATGGATAATAATTAGAGTAAGACGAGTTTATTATCACTAGCAGAGAATATATATTTTGTGTGTGTGAACAATTTATCTTAATAAATGCATATTTTTTTTAATATTACATAATTACTGTTTTGTCATTCTTATGTAAATAATGTGTATCAAAAGTGAGGGTAAAATTGGAAAAATAAGTATAAAAAAAAGAAGGTAAAATAGGAAAAATAGGGATATGATTGTCATTTTGTCAAAATGTACAAAATTACTATTTTGCCCTTCTCATGTCAATATTGTGTATTCAAAAGTGAGAGCAAAATTGGAAAAAAATGGGGAAAAAAAGTTGACAGGACTCTTCTCTTAATAATAGTATAGATTATAATGTCATGAGCTACCAACACAAATGATGTATAAGGCTATTTTCACATGGATTTTATTAATGACGGTTTAAAAACTCTCAACACATGACCTTGATAAGTGACCTGATATTTTACTGTGGCGATAAACTCTTGTAACTAAAGTCCCTCATGTGCGTATAGGGGGTAATGCTAGAAAAATCAAATTTAGAGACTAAATTTGCAAACTAAATGACATGTCACTAATAAGAATATACACGTTTATCAACGTGTAAGAAATAAACCAATCATGAACTTTCATGTCGTTTAATTTTCAAAATTTATCTGTAAATTTAGTCTCTATAACATTATTTGCGTATAGGACATATTACCCAAATTGTCTAGAATAACATGTTTTGGACTATAAATACATCGCTTGAATAGAAAAGAGATCCATAGTTGTGAATCCATGTCATGTCACCATGACAAAAAGCTTTTAATTTAATCTACGACTTATAACATGGATATGACTGGACTTTCCTTATTGGATGCTGAAATAGTATTCGGGCCGGCTCATTTGGGACTGGACTTTCCTCATCTGTTTTTGGGTTCTCATCTATGTGGCCTTTGGGCTCTTATAGTTTTAAACCTCTAGTTTTTCTTTTCATGTAGACTTAGAATTTTTTGAAAATGAATTGGTTTACGTGCCAACATTCTTTATCCTGAAAAGGGATCATTTCCAGATCCTTTACACTAAATTCATCAAATTAATTAGTTCGGATATTTGAAATTTGATTAAATGGTTAAAAATAGGAGGTTCTTTTAAAAGTTATAATACTTTAGTCGTTAGATCAAATTTTAAGGATTCAGATTGATTGATTGAGTGAATTTGGTGGAAAGGATCCGGATCCCTTTCCCCTATCCTTGTCAATCATATAAATTTAACTTCCATTATATTCGAACGAGGAAAATAAATTTAGAAATTTTAATGAAATTTCTAAATTTACATGTTTTCTTGTTTAGATTCATAACATAGGAATTTCGAATTTTCGCGTGGAAAAAAAATTTGGAATTTGAGACTTTTAATTCTTAAGTTTAAATTTCATGTAAATAGGTCTAATTTCCAAATTTTCATGAGTGAGAGTTGAAAAAAAAAAAAAAATTCCGTATTCAAATTCTATTATTCTATTAAGTTAATTAAACAAGAAAATTTACAAATTCTAAAAAATAAAATTTCATCATTTATATTTCTCTCATTTTGAAATTCTTTAGTAATCTTAGGGGAGTAGTCAAACTAAGATTTTAAAGGATTTCAAAGTATTTTAAAAGTGATAAATTTGATAGGATTTAAGAGGATTAGAGACTTGTACAAAATTCATATGGATTTTTAAAGAATTTGAATGGATTGTGGTGGAAAGATTTGAAATTCTAGGAGGTGAGGTTGAATTCTTTTTAGTTTTGGTTATATATACTTTTGGCTCTCAAATCCCACAAAATCCACAACTTATTGAAATCCTCCAAAATCTTAATTTTTTTAATACACTTAGATTTGAATGAATTTTAATATCCTTTTAAAATCTTTTAATCGACTACATCTAGATTTTAAAGAATTATAAAATCCTTTAATTGATTACACCTGGATTTAAATGAATTATAAAATCCTTTAAAATATTTTAATTGATTACATTAAAATTTTAAAGCCTTCTCAAATCCGTATTTGGCTTAAATTTCCTCGTCCAAATATGCTGTTAAATAATATCTAACAAGGGGAATGGCTTCATTTGCTAAATCAAGGATGATTGATTGAGTTGGATAAAGATCGTTACGATAGCTTAAACCAAGACTTCAAAAAAAGAGTTTGAATCTCGCTGCTGACAACCACGATCCGGTTGGTAAATTTTGTTAAATTAAACGTTAAACTAACGAAAATTCCAACACAAAGAGATGAAACAGAAACAAGGCGGGACGAGGAAAAGAATAATATAAGATTCTGTCCTTAATTGGAGCAAAAGTTTCCTCTCTAGCAAACAATCTGGGAACAAAAAAATAAAAGAAAAGATTAGGTGCAGAGCTCGAATTGGTTGGGGATTTGCGATTTCTCCAGCGAATCCTCCACTTCCAGGACTTCATCTTCTTCGTCGAGACCCCAGAAATGGACGAGGACGTCGTACAGCGAGTCTTACAAGAAGGAGGCCGCGACTACTTTCAGCAGCAACCCTCCACTTCCTCTTCCTCAATTCTCCAATCGCTTCCTCTCCATGTGGTATGGCAGTTCAGACTTTCACCTAGCACTTGGCTTCTTTGTACTTTGCTTTGCAGTTCGGCATTTTTCCATTTTTTTTGCTTGTAATTTTGAATTGTTGGAGTGATTTTTTGTGTTGAAATTTTGGGTTTTCATGGAATTGGGATTTGTGTTTTGGAGCTGTAATTTTTGTTTCTACTGCTTAGATGAGATTTTGGGCTTGTTTGGGTTCTTATTTGCTGCTTGCGGTTTCAATTCTTTAGGTTGTAGGAAACGAGAATTCTAGGAACTGACCTGAATCTTGAAATCGGGTTAAGATGCCATTACATATATACATTACTTGAACCTATTCATTTCTGACATTATATGAGGTGCCCTAATTACTGCTGTTGTTGATATGGTGCAGTCTTTTGATCACGGATATTATTTGCTAGTAAAGTCTATCCAAGAACTTAGAGAGAAAAA